CGCGGGGCCCACCAAGAGAGGAATTCGGGGGCTCCCAATACCACGCGGCCCCACCACACTCCCCAGCTCGCACCCGGGACCCCGCAACAATCCAAACGGCTCCCCCGGCCGCGGTGGCCGCCCCTCACCCAGCGTCAGCAGGACGACGAGCAGCGCCACCAGCACGGAAAGCATCGCCGGGTCCCTTCGCTGCAGCTCCTGGCGCAGAGAGTCCAGATACGGTTGGAAGGTACCACCTCCGACCCCCATCTGCTCAGCTTCCGCCGAGACCATCATTGAGCAGTGCCGCCGCGACAGAAAGACGTGGCCTTCCAAGCTCTATGCAGTCGTAGGGGAGCGGAGCATCATGGGAATCGTAGTCTTCCGGGCCTCCTTCCCCAAGCCGGTAGTGGACCAGTGTATTTCCTAAAAGGAGCCTTCTGGGAGTTGTAGTTTTTTAAATCTCTCCCCCTTCCCCATATAGGACTTTGGCCACAAGCTTTATGTTAAAATCCATGAGATGTCCAGAATAGAAAACTGAGTTCTGGCCGTGCTGCCAAATTCTGAAGTTTTAGGAAAATGGTTCCCAAATATCGTACCATAGTTAAGGTCCTCCCAAGTAACAATTCTGCACACCCCATAAAAATTTAAATCTTAAATTCCAGAGCTTTCTCTGACCCTCTTACAAAATGCAGTGTCTCTAGGTCTCTACCTTGCCAATTTTGAGCCCTTACACGAATATAAGATAATTAGTATTTCTAAAAGCTCATGTTAAATACCTACCTGTGGGTAGCCATGGTTTGAGTTCCTACAATATGAAAAATAAGGTCTCTTGTCCATGAGACTATCATACATTTCTAAGCTGAAAGAGACCGTAGAAGTGAGTTAAAATATGTAAAGCACTTTGCAAATCTTAAAGCTCTATATAAATGGTAGTGATGAGGAAGAAGATGATGATGATGTTGGCTGTGGTGATGATGATGACTCATTTTATATGTGAAGAAACTAAGATCCAAAGATTAAGTGATGTTTTTGTTGTTCAGTCATTTTTCAGTTGTGCCCAACTCTTCCTGACTTCATTTGGGGTTTTCTTGGCAAAGATATTGGAGTGGTTTGCCATTTCCTTCTCTAGCTCATTTTACAGATGAAGAAACTGAGGCAAACAGAGTTAAGTGCCTTGCCCAGGGTCACACAGCTAGTAAATGTCTGAGGCTAGATTTAAACTCAGGAAGACGACTCCTGACTCCAGATCCGATGTTCTGTCTAGCTGCCCTTTAAGTGACTTAAGGTCACCCAAATTGTGATGTCACCCAAATAGAAAAGCTCTTTATACTGTCCCCATTTAAGGTTGGTAAAAATAAGACAAAAAGGTATAACGACATACAAATAAAGAGATGTTAAATATCTAAAACAAAACAAAATATCCATTTTTATAGCTATGAGACTCAGTCACTTATGTATTGTTAGGGAGATACTTTTAAAATTTGGACTTGCCTTACATTACAACATTCTAGCTTCCAATTACAAGGAGACACTGGAGTGGTTAGGCAAACCCAGTTTTTGGAAAGACAACGGGTTCATCAATATCAAGTCCACCCTTGTGATTAACTGGAGGGAATAGTCTTAGCAGTTTCAAAACTGTCATTCACAATGGAGAGGAAGAGATCAGCAAGTTATAAAGGAAAGGGGACATGTAGCTATAGATCCATAGCAACTACCATATTTCTTTTTTAAAAAGCATGCATGTTCTCAAGGTTTGGGGTTTTTTTTCCTATTTTTGTACTGAAGGCATATTGTCCCAATAACCACCAGAACCCTGCCCTCCTCAGGACACCACCCATCTGGATTTTATCCATATGCTACTATGGAAAATATTACAATAGAATGCTTGCGCACAGATTCTGTTGCTACTCCTCCGAAAATCAGAGGGCCCTCTGCCCCATGTCTTCCAGGTCCTTCCACAGTCCCAAAAGTCAACTCTAAAACTGCTCACATGCTAACTTTCTTCTTGATCCCTTTTCAGGTCATTCCAACCCTATTAAACCCATTTAATTTTCTTTTTCTTCCTTTTCTTCTACACTTTGAGTTTCTAGCATTATTTTAAACATAGCTTCACAAATTATTTTCTCTGATGTAGTATCTTCCTTTTTCTTCTACACTTTTCATCTCGTCTTCCTTTTCATCTACACTTTGAGTTTCTAGCATTATTTTAAACATAGCTTCACAAATTATTTTCTCTGATGTAGTATCAGAAAGCCACGAGGAACAATGAATGCCCTGGAAAATTTCTAACCCTAAGAAAAGATTTAGGAGGAATAAAAACTTATATCCTCTTGGCCCTGGAAAGAAAAATCAGTCAGGTTAAGTAATGATTAATGAAGATGAAATTGTACCAAGGAGAGGTACTCATGTATATCTAAGGTATTTATATTTTTGAAATTATCCTTTTATTGTATTTCCACCATCCTCTGCCCTAGCCAGTCTTTTCTGGTTTTGTCCAGCCGGATTTAATTAGCATGAGAAACAATTTTCTAGGTGAGGAAATAGTTTTGTAACTTGCAGTCTTTGAGAGCTGCCCTAGAGCACTGAGAGGCTAAGTAGTTCACTTAACCCAATGGCATATGGACAAACTGGCAAGAGGTAGACTTGAACTGATTCTACTGTTTACAGGATTTTACTGAGCCAATCTCTAACCTGAGAATGATGAAATAGCAGTCCAGAGGCAAAGTGCCAGTAATGAAGAGCGTTTAATTAATTAGTTTCATTATAAGGAACAGATTTGCAAATAAGGAATTCTGATCAGAATTCCACCTTGCTAAAGTGAAGACAGAGGCACAAATGGGAAGGGAGGGGAAAAGGTAGATTACAATGTTTTCCCAGGCTTGAGCTGTGACAATACAACTGTGGAGACCTGTGCAAGTCCTTGGGAGTCATTACTTGGTGGGTCACAGGACCAGAGTTCTGTAAAGGGAACAGGTTCTACATTCTTTGATTCCCTTCACTTCAGGTACGCAGGCAGAAGGATGCCAGCGATTGTAAGCCTCATCAAAGGTTTCATTTATCATTTCAAGCTGCATTGTAAGTCTGATTCACGAGAGGCAATTCTGAAAAATCTGTTAGTATATTCATCACACACATATTGATTATTATAAAAATCCTAATTTCCTTCACACTATGCTATATGTCTCTTATTTAGATGACTCATACTATTGAGAAAATATCTGAAAAGTAGCATTTGGCTGGATCATGTACTATATTTCATCTTTTAGCTATCGTTACCTGTGGACAATATAATCGTGGGTATCTTTGCTTGTAGAGATAACTTAATTTTCTTAACTATGTAGTCATACCAACCTTGCCATAGGACACCTTTGATGTCTCTCCCATCCCTTGCCATCCCATCAGTATGATATCTACTTAAACTTGGAACTTTTGACAAAAATGGACGCTTCTAAGCCAGACTTCAAATAGAAGACATGCTGACTAAGTTTCTATTACACTTCTCAAGTAATCTTACGCTATAATTCAAGATAACCTGTTGAGGATGTTGCAGGAGTTGGATTGCTTAGATAAACTTCGATGTCCCTTCTAACTCTGATTCTGTGAATCAAGGAATTTCATCAAAGACTACATCCCTGAGCTTAATAAATTTAGCTTTCTCTACAGTATCTACCATAACAAAATTTGAGGATGGGGGAACATTGCTTTCTGAAGCTTTGTGATTTTCCCATTATCTCTTGCTGCTATCAGAAGACACAAGGGTGTCTTTCCTCTCTGAATTCCATTCCTCCGTTGCTGCAGTTATTTCCAGGGAGGATGAGAGGATCATAGAGGACACGAAATGGATCTTGAAGATCAATGGCAGAGCAGCCCTAGGACTCAGGAGTCAAATCCTACTTCTTCCACATACTAGCTACGTGACCTTGGGCAAGTCTCTTAACTTCTAGATGCCCCTCTCTGATCAATGAAATGATGATGAATGCTATTCATTTCCTCACAGTGGCGGACTAAATGTGCACAAAGAGACACATTTTTGGACATGACCACCATGGGAATTTATTTTATTTGACCACCACATATTTGTTACAAGGGTCTTTCTTTTTCTTTTCCGTGGGTTGGAGAAGGTGGGAGAAATAAAAACAATAATACTTGATAATTGAAAAAACTATAACATTTAATTTAAGGCAATAAGTTGTAGGGAAGGTGCCGGTGTGTATAAGTAGAAGCGCCTCACCGGTAGCTTCCTACATGCTCAACGAAATCATAGGTCTAGTTAAAAAATAAAGATATGAAAAAAATAAACCTCACATCTCAGAAACAGAAGTGACTTCAGAAACCATCTAGCCGGTCTCCTAATTTTAGAGATGAGAAAAGAGGCCTCTACAAGATTAAGTGACTTGCTCAAGGTCACACAGGTAACAGGCAGCAAATGGAGAAAATGACTTCAGTGTCCTTGACTCCAAGTCTGGGACTCTTTCCCACACTGCTTCCTCCCAAATGGGTCTGTAAAATTCCCTCACACAAATCCCCCCACCTAACCACCCATTACCAAATAAATGAAGACATACTTTATCGCAGATAGTGAGATTTGGGGAAAATGGGATGTGTATTTGCAAACTGAAGAACGTCAAGAGTTGGTCAAGATTTTAGTTTTTGTTATAGTGGGAAAAGTTAAGAACAGATGTTAGGATTATTATAGTTCCCACTGTACCACCATCTAATTGTATGGCCTGGAGCAAGTTACATATCTTGTTAAGTGAGGATCTCAGTTCTAGGGCTGGGGCTTCAGAGGCTATCTGCTCCAAAGTCCTCATTCTAAAGGTGAGGAAACTTTAAAGCCCTGTGAGGTTAAATTAAGTGGACCAGGTGACTTGCCAAGGTCAGCCATAGTCTTTTTCTCTGAGGTAAAAATAGGAAAACAACACAGGGACCGAGGCAATTAAGAGACAAAGGCAGAGAAAGGCACAGAGATGCTCCTATCCCTTTTCAACATTCAATACACACACAACACACAAAAAAGGTACCAACAGAATCAGAATCGCTTTATTCACAGCCAGGGTTTGCTCTAGTCCTCATCATCAGGCAAAATAATCTTGCTGGGGTCAAAATAGTTGGAAGTCATAAGAGGAAGGCCCTGGGCCTCCCTAAGCTTCACCTGTCGCTCTGCCTCCCTCCGGGCCCATTCCTTCATCCTGTGGAAGAGGACAAAGAGAGGAGAGAAAGAGTGAGGACCAACAGAAGTCATCGCTTGCACTAGCACCAGCCTGCAAAGGTAGAATGCAGACCAAGTCAGCTTTTTTATCTTTAACTATGTCAGAGACAGAGAGGGGCATGCTAGGGCTCCAGAAATCATAACTAATGGAGAAGGGGCCATGAACTGGAAGCTAGGGCTGACTCCCCCAATCCCCTCCTCCTTTGCCCAAGCAGCAGGTAACCATACTCACTTGTAGTCAGGGAGATAGGCCACAAAGGTAGAGCCTAGGACAATGGCAATCGAGACGCCAAAGAAGAACACGACTCTCATGTTCCAGAGGTCTATGAAGGGGTCTTCATCAAAGCCATGGGAGTCTGGGTTCTGCGTTGGGAGGAGGATTGAGAGTTAGAAGGCACATTCGCTTCTCTTAGGATCACGCTGTCACAACTGACACAGTGCATATTTTTTTAACCATAAGGCAAAGAAAATAGGAACAGGATGAAAATTTTTATTTGAAAGCAAAATTGCATCTGCTTGTAATTATATAGATTTAAAAATACATTTGCACAGATAGAAGTGATAGTATATGGTAATAAAATCACAAAAATTGTTTTTAAAATTCTTGCATCAATTGACACGACTGGTTCTTGTAATTTTAAGAAATTAGGACCCAGGGAGGAGGGACGTCAGGGGCTAAACAGACTGGAGGGCTGCGGCCACGGGTAAAGGCCTATGTGGAGGGGTGGTGGAAAGTGGGGCTAAGACTGGGCTGGAGCGCCCAGGCCGCCTTAGTCCCGCCCCCTCGGCCTCTTCCGGCTCCCGGCCCCGCCCCCTCACCTTCTCATAGAGGTTGATATCTTCTTTATCTGGGTCTTCTTGCCAGTCGACCTCCGGGGCTCGGGGCCGTTTCTCCACCGCCGGCGGGGCGACTACGGCTCCGGTCGTGCTGGAGCTCCAGCGGAGAGAAGCGGCGGCCGGCACCCTCCGTGCCGCTCCGAGCAACCGCCGAGAGCAAATCCCCAACAACCCCGCTGTTGCCATTGCGGCCGCCATGGGTCCGAAGCTGCTGGGTCGGGAGGGGGAGGGACGTCGGACAGGCACAGCCTACTGCGCAGACGCAGGACCCTGCAGCGACCGCTCTACCGGAACCCCCTGTCCCCGCCCACTTCAGGCTCACGTGACCGAGGGTTTTATGGACTTGGGCCGCAGGCACGTGGCCGGAAGGTGGGGCCTAGGAGAATCTACTGTTTCTACAATCTTTGCGAGAGGCCTGTGCCCTTGTTGGGCCAGGACATCTTCCCAGAGCCTCCGAGAGCCCCCTCCCTCCCCTCGGAGCTGTGATGGTGGTGCATGGGTTCCTGGAGTTTCCTTGTCCCGGCGGTCCTGGGCCCTGACACCTCCCAGCTGGTTGGAGATGGCACAGGGGACTCCCCATCGTCGGGGGAGTCTGATTAGCACCAGTTTCATTCATTGCAAGCACACCCTGATCAGCCCCCGAGCAGCAGAATGGTGTAGCTGACCCCACCAAGATGCATTAATGAGCGACTACTGTGTGCCAGCCAGACAACAAGAATGAGGTGATCCTTGCCGTACACACGTACACACACACACACACACACACATTTTTTGTTGTTCAGTCCTTTCAGTCATGTCTGATTTTTGTGACCCTGGTTTTCTTGCCATTTCCTTCTTCCACTTATTTTATGGATAAGGAAACTGAGGCAAACAGGGTTAAGTGACATGCCTAGGGGCACACAGCTAGTGTCTGAGGCAGGATTTGAACGGGGATGATGAGTCTTGTGGTTCTCCAGGCCCAGTGCTTTTGATGGGATATGGAGCCAAGCTGAGACCTTTGCCCCTTACCCCAAAAAGAATGAGTCCCATTTGTCTAAGAGATTCTCCTTGAATTCCCCCACTTGATCAAGGAGGTCTCCGGGGTTCCCCTGAGGCTATAGTCCCATCAACTGGCCTTTTGTTATTGCCTACACCCAGTTTCCCAATTCTGTTACCCTTAACCTAGCCTAGCCCTCCATTGTCTTACTTCCCAATGGCCCCTGGCTACTTTCCACTCTTGACCCTATCTACACCCCATTCTCCACCTCCCAGTCATTCCCATCCTAGATCCCTCCCACAGTCTTTCTATATATAAGGTCCATTTTGTCTCCATTAAGGTGCTCAGATTTTTACAATCTAGCCAATAGCTCGCAGGTGCTCAGATTCCTTAAGAGTCTGGCTAATATTGCAGATCTTTAATAAACATTGTCTTTGACTGAAAGAAGGCTTGGATTGAATTCTTTCGGACAGGACCCACATATTGTGATTTTGGGGTTCCAGCACCCCTGAACCTCTAGACCTCATCAGGTGTATCTCTTCCAAGAATCTCTGGCGCCCTTTGCTCCTTAAAAGCGCACAGAGTTACCTCAGCATTCTCTCCACCAAAAAAGATGTGGTTCCCACAGTAAGTCCAACAGCATGCGGAATGTCCCAGGTTTAGTTGGAAGCCCATATGATGTGGTTTGGGGTTGCTGCAAACCCCAAAATGTCAGGGTACAGGGCAGCATCTGCCTGGAATGAATTCACAAACTCAAACTGTCTTCCAGTCAAGTGGCAAAATTTCTTGTAAGCCAATAAAGTGGGCGAGGTTGTTAGGGAACCTGCAAAACTAATGAAGATGAGGCTGATGCTTATATACAAAAACGACAATGAAAGGATCTGTGTGGGGTTAAGGAGTGGTAAGTAGTCTGGGGTGGGCCAGGTGCCTTGTGTGGAGGCACCAGTGATCTGGGCTGCTGAAAAGTATGGGAAAATTCAGGGACTGGGTTGCTTCCAGAGTTATGGTCTTTTCCTTTTAGGTGTCCGGGTCCCATCACTCCATCACATATATAGTAATTTTGTGGAGAAAGGTACGTGTAGTGCTGTACCAAATTATTATCATTAGTTTTCCTTGAAAACTGAGAAAAATAAGGAAAGTGTTGTAAAGAGCACAGGTTGTTTAAAATCCTTCTTGATTGGAAAGGAACTCTAATGGGCTTTGACTTAAATCTAGCAAGTTACTCTTTTCAAGAAAGAAAGAAAATATTTACCCAGGATTCTCTAGGCAAATGAGTCCAAAGGAGCTAAAGCTAGCTAGGTTGGATTGAGGAAAGAATCTGCCATCTCCTCTCCTTTTGAAAAGCCACTCCTCTAGAGGGGAAGAAGTTGATTAGTTTGTTGTTGTCCTTTGTTCTCAAAGAGGACCAAAATGACATCACTATGTTCTAGTCAAGTTACGATTTGTTCAACTGTGGCTGATCAGACCAATATGAGTTCATCGTTTCTTTCGAGCTTTTTCAGTTCTGCTTTGCTCATAGCAGACAGCACTTCTGTGATGTGGGCACGCCATGCCAGTGTCTCCCATGTCACACAATCAATTCCAGAATTCTAAGAGAGACTTTGAGAGTGTCCTTGTATCGCTTTTTCTGACCATTATGTGAATGCTTGCCTTGTGTGAGCTCTCCATAAAATAGTGTTTTTGGCAAGTGTACATTTTGCATTTGAACAACGTGGCCAGCAAGTCGGAGTTGTGCTTTCTGAAGCAGAGTTTGAATGCTTGGCAGTTTATTTCAAGAAAGGACCTCAGTGTCTGGTATCTTATCCTGCCAGGTGATCTTCAGAGTCTTCCTAAGATAATTCAAATGGAAGCAATTCAGTTTCCTGGCATGGCGCTGGTAGACTGTCCAGGTTTCACAGGCATTCAACAATGAGGTCAGCACTGATGGGGTCTAGAGGTTAGGGGTCCTGGAATCCCAAAATCACGACATGCAGTCCTGCCTGAAAGAGTTCGACCCAAGCCTTCTTGCAGCCAAAAACAAGGTTTATTGAAGATTCACCATATTAGCCAGACTCATAAATCTGAGCAACTATGGGCCATTGGCTAGATTGTGAAAATCTGAGCAGTGGCTAGATTCTAAGAATCAGAGCATCTTAATGGAGACAAGATGGACCTTATTTACAGAAGGATTGTGGGAGGGATCTAGGAGTGGCCAAGTAGTCCATGAGGTAATAGAATTACCAAGGGTGGGAAGTGGCCTGGGGCCATAGGGAGGCAGGACTATGCAGGGGAGATTGGGTGTAGCCACAGTGAAAGGCCAGTTGAAGGGATTATAGCCTCAGGTGAATCCCAGAGATTTGGCCATGTGGGAAAGTCCAGGGTTTTTCCTTTCTGGGGCCCAGATCCCAACCCCATCATTCCCCCCTCAAACAAATGGGACCCAAATTCTTTTGGAGTAAGGGGAGAAGGTCTTGCCGTCTAAAACTGCTTCCTGCTGGCAAGGGGCGTAGAGCTGTCCCTGCCTCGAAAGGGTCCCAAAAAGAGGTTGACTGGAACAGTACACAGGCTACATCCAGGGAATGATGTGGGGACATTGGCTGGTACGCGCTGTTTGCTGCCAACTGTAGGTGAATGGCCCATAGTCTGGAAGACATAAATCTGACAGAAAAAACTGTAGAGCCCAGATATAAAGCAGGGATTAGATTTAGGGCCCAACTTTGAGAGGATAAAACATCCTTAGCTCTGTTTGGATTCAGATAATTCAGTTTTCCAACCATGCAGTATCAAATCCACCTCATACCAGACTCAGGAATAGCCAGGAGGATCCCATCTTAGACTGAGGCTAAAATTGTTCTCTCAGCTTTTCCCAATGCTGACTTCCCACCAGGATTATCTTCTCTGAGTAGCTTGTGGCATTTCTCTCTGATGGTGGATTATTGATTATCGATGGATAATCAATCAGACAACTCAAAATAAAATCCTATGAGCTTTTATCTTAAACAGCAAGTTTTACTAATCATAGTTTAGGAAAAACTTTCCAGGATTTACTTCTCAAATTTAAATTTATCCTAATGTAAAAAGCCAATCATTAGAGATTTCTATACACTTGCAAATTCTCAGCAAGCCATACATAACCCAAACAAGCTTTTTGGCTAGTTTGCACATTAAAACAATAACCGACAATAGCTAACTTATTTTAGCGGTAACCAAATTATGAAAAATTGCTTGACATAACTGATACAGAAAGTTCACCAACTTGAAACTTGAAACAAACCCATTACCAATCAGGTGACTTCAGTTTTGTTAAATGCACTTCCAAATTACTTTACACAGAGAATCAACATCTCATCTTTACAGTTAAAACTACAAATTTAAAAGAGCATGCTTACCCAGGTTCAGAGGCCAGCTTCATTACCTTGAGCAGGATGTGCTGAACCTGGGTGATGCTTCCAGGCAAAGGTTGCCCTAGGGCCCAAGGCCATTGCTAGTGGGGCCCATGCTGTAGCTGCTGCCCCTCCCTCCTCCTTCCTTTCCCAGGTCGGGGAGGGCAAAATCAAAGGTGTTTCAAAACTTCCTAATGATCAATCACAAAATTTCCAGAATCTGCCAAGATATTTTTAGGTGTTCTAACTTTCCCTGTAACCTCCATGAAGGAGGATTCAGAGGTGCAGAGGGAAGGGAGTAAGTAAGCCTCAGGGAACCAAAAAGCAACTGCAGTTTTCCCCAAATTAACAGATACACTTCCAGATAGGGTGTCCATCCTTGTCCTCTATGCTGCAGTGTACCAGGTCCATGGCCTTGAACTGACCCAGTGGACCGAGAGCCTGAGAGTGTCAGGCCCAGTGCTAGACAGCCTTGTAACTGTCAGCCAGAAAAGCAACACCAAGCCTTGGTGCTTGGAGAGCGACCCCAAGTGCAGAGCAAGAAAGGAGGGGAGGGAGGAGGCTTACTTACCTTCCAGTCTTGGCTGGAGAAGAACTTGGAGTTAGGCAGTTTCCCCGTTACAGGCCACCAAAATGTTGCAGTTTAGGGGTTCGGGGGTCCTGGGACCCCAAAATCACAACACATGGGTCCTTCCCAAAAGAATTCGACCCAAGCCTTCTTTCAGCCAAAGACAAGGTTTATTAGAACATCTGTCATATTGGGCAGACTCTTAAGGAATCTGAACATTAGTAAGCTATTGGCTAGATTCTAAGAATCTGACTAGTGGCTAGATTTGAAGAATCTAAATTAAGTATCTTAATGGAGACAAGATGAACCTTATATACAGAAAGACTGTGG